AAACGTAATATATAGAAAGTTCTCTTCATATTTCAATTTCGTAACCCATGCACTCTCTTATTAACATCAAGCATATGATATCAAAAGCAGAAATAATTTTAACAAAATAGAAAATACTCCTATCCAGTTATTTTAACAATCACTCCATCGACCTCTGCTCCAAAACTCCTGCAAGATACATGACAGTTAATGGAAAAACTTTCTTCTGATTACTAGCTGACAGTTATCACTAGTCACATTATGAGAAAAACTGCACAATTAAAGTTTTTTTTGCTTTAAGTAACCGCCACGCACGCTCTATTCAGAGCTTTGTTATTGTATTCATTACATTTACATCCAGGGGTGATAACAGGTTCAACTCTGAAGTTAGTGCATGATGCTCGTCTGATGCAACAAAGACAGTTAAAATGTGTGCATAAGATAATCTCATAGACAGTGTTGGAGTGTGTGCACCAAATTTTGCAGGAATATATATATATGTATAAACTTTCAGTATCTATATCAATACGAGACAACACTCAGGAGGCATGGGGGCTTTATATCTTACAATCAGTATCTAAAATAGAGACGAAAAGTAGCAAGCAGTAGAAAACCAAGACAAAGAATTTTGATATTTCTCTTGCCTGGGAAAAGTAATTATTACATTGTTGGGTATAGTCATGATGATTTTATTCACATGGAAAGAAAAAATATCTTTACAAAAGCAAATGACTTCGTCATTTGCACCCTTTTGATTAGAGCACATATGAACAGCAAGCAAGGTAGATTTTACAAAGAAGGGAAAAGCCAGAAGTTAAACAGGCAAGAGGCTGATGAAAGAAACCAAGACAAGAAGGCCATAGCAGCAGATAGTTGATATCTACCGCATAGCTTTGCTGGGCAATAGGATCGATCGGCATCGAGCAGCAGATCTGTGACACTGGCTGTTGAACATGCTGCAGCTAATGACAGATATGACAAAATCTGGAGTGTACAAAAACTGTAATATCATTAGTGCTTTTGTATAGCATGGAAACAGTTTTTGAGGTCACAAATTGCACGTACCATGTCTCCCAAAAAGACTATCATTACGAGTCTTCGTTGGAGGGGTAAACATTTTATAAACACAGAGTATGCATCCACAACCAACAGTGTTATGCTCCAGGGAATTACCAAACCCATGACTGTTACCAAATAGCTGTGAATACCATAAACAAACACAGGTAAAAACTCAACTCAAGCACATCCTTACAAGATAACCTAAACAGGATATAAACCCTCAGACATTGCCAATGCAACTTTTGAAACTGGGAAAACATGCGTATACCAAAATCTTTTACCTTCTGCAAGCTTTATACATGAACAACGACTCCACAAAGAAATATGTCGTGTTATCACTCTCAAACCATGTTGAAGTGAAAATATAGAGCGATTAAGCCAGCATCATAGTTATCATAATTGCGATAAAATTGCACTACACGGATATGGAATACGAAAATAAGAAACATTGAAGTGAAAAACGGAAAAACAGTGCCGTCAACATTGAAATTCACTCAATTATCCAAAAGGATTTCATTTCAACAAAAGACAACTTGAAATAGTTCATTTTTATCTTTTCTACTTAAATGCCCCCAAAAAAATATAACGACTTTCTACATGCCAATTCAATCTGATTTATCTTCACCTATAAACATGTGCACTTCCCCAAACCACAAATCAGAACCTAATAATATTCAATGTTTCCAATAACCCTCTTTAAAGTCTCATAAAGGCATTTCAATGCAAAAGTTGAAAAATACGGATCAGCGGCAACAGATAAGAACTCACCATTTCAAAATGTGATTTTTTTTTCTTTAACCAGTTATTCTCTCGATTTGTTTTTAAGGATAAATTTTTTAAAGATATTTGTTTTTATTTCAGCGTTGTTTTCAAAATCTAAGATGATATTAATTAACCATTTTTATTGATTTAAATATATGTATTTATTGCGATATAGAAATAAAAGAATAATTAAAGTAAAGAAAATTTATTTCAATTCTTTGAAAGAAAAAGGGAGTAATAACCAAGAAACCCACTCATTAACTGTGTGCAACCCCCAAAATTAATTGAATAGGCCACTCAATTTTACTGACTTTCTTCCACAATCCCCCCCTTACCTTTACTCATGTTTCTTGCCCACAGTACACCACTCTCTGACACACCAATCACAAACTCACATAAATCCTCCAACACTTAAGTTCTGAAACAATTCATGACAAGCACAGATACATGATCTCAAATTCAATTCTTGCATAAAACTCCAACATCACGAAACAAAAGCATCCCCAAATCAATTACCCTTTACAAAATCAGATAATGGGGCATGATGAAATCGGCAAAAGTTACCGAATTTGGTGAAGCAGTGAGTGACAGAATAAGAAAAGACCCCCAATTGGGCATATGAAGAAGATGAACA